ATCATTTTATAAGCTTATGTAATGATCTTCACTGCTTGGGTTTTTAGTGGTTAACTTTCCTTTCTCCAGTAGATATTAGATTCCCTTTCCTATTTTCTTTGTAGTTTATAGAAAAGCAATAAAAAATCCCCTTCGGAGGGCCAAAAAAATAAAAATAAATAAAATGTAAAGCATGACAATACTGTATGGATTCGCCAATACAAGAGGTTGTTTTCTTTCATTTTCTCTAATGAATGAAGACAACATTCTATTGATGGAATCCCTGCATATACAGAACAACTCACTCAAAAAATCAATATTTGAGGTTAAGCATTTATTCAAATTTAGAATGATTTTTGTACAGAATGAAGAGCGCTTTTTCCTTTTCATGCATATTCCTCAATGAAATACATTTTTTGTTTCAAGGATCTGATAATTCAGCCTGACTAATCAAATTGTCTTATTTGTACTCACTTAAGAATCTGCTCCATTCCTCCTAAACTTCAACCTCAGAGGTGTTTACCAAATTACAGAAGCAGGTACTCCTGTAGGATAGTCACTAAAAGATTAGCTCTCACCCTCGGCATGAACTCAGAAGATGGGTTTAGGCCAATTACTGTTCTCTCAGCCCCTCAATCCCCAAATGAACAATATGGAAATAACAATACTGTTATGGTTGCTGGCAGACCATTTTTTTTGTAAAGCTATGCAAAGTGCCACTTCCCTGAGAGTGAATCTAAATTAGAACTTCCAATCAAGTTTGCTTTGAGGTCCTCGGTCAGGTTGCAGGAATCCTAATATGCAATATCTTCAAAGAGAAACACACAGTGCATCAAGGGAAATTTGTTTTGATAGTGCTCTTTGTAGAAGAGTTTTGATCTTCCTTATAAGAAGTGTTTGGGTTGGGAGTGGGGGTGGGACAGACTTACAGAATACTCAGGATGCCTGAAAATAGAAATTGAAAACTTGTTTTAGATTTTCTAGAGACAGCGTTAAGACATCTTTGGTGGACCAGCCACCGCCCTCCTTCTGATGGCACAAAGTAGTTAGTGAAAAGATTTGGAGAACCAGATGAAACTGACACCCCATGTTTTAAAAAACCTGCCTAAGCAATGGGAGACGGGGGAAGATCTAAGAAACTGGGAGCCAAAGTGATGTTTGTGTTCACATAAACCAGAAATTGCAGCAGTGTATTGGTGTAAGGGTTAAACTTTGCCTTTTTTGGACAGCTAATATTGAAAGTTTATCTAAAGGGGTAAAACATCATTTATTGATGCTGAGAAAATACCTTGGCATATATATTTGATAGTGTATAATCTCGTATGCTCTTAAATTCTGTTAGCGTATTTCATTTCTCTCAGGAACACTCACAGCAATAAGCCATTCAAGTTAACTTAAAGGAATGAAGTCCTTGGGAAAGAATGGAGTTACAAGCTGCTGACAGAGCAACTTCTGTAAAGAAAACTGCATGCTATTAGTCAGACAAATGGAAAACTTGCAAGGAAGCATGGGAAGGTGCAGTGATGCACAGTTTTCCAAAATCTGGAAATTGTCTAACACTGTAAATTGCATGATCCGATCTGGTACATTTATTCCACATTACATTGATGATTACAATATCCCTTCCACCATGTGAGAGAAGGCATAAGAATTATAGATTTAGAATTTTATCTGCACAGCCTGTTTGGATCATTTGTGGTGTTATTTATTTATTGAATTTCTACTCCACCCTCCCACCCAGAGCCAGTGCCCTTCCCACTTTACAAATCCACAATGCACACATGTACTCTCATATAATTCTGAGGGATAGTCGCCGGAAAAACATTAGCTGCGACTTTGAACCTGCCAGAGTTTTCTAACTTTTTACTGGCAATGGCCAATACAACATACATTGCTGAACAAAGTTTGAGTCCAGTGGCACCTTTAAGACCAACAAAGTTTTACAAGGAGTAAGCTTTCATGGGCATGCACACTCCTTCAGTTCCTTCATTGGTCTTAAAGGTGCCACTGGACTCAAACTTTGTTTTGCTGCTTCAGACCAACACAACTACCCACCAGATTCACCATTCATTACTGTTAATCTTGTTAACTAAACAATCTTTGGAAATGGTAAGTCTGCTAAAGGAAAATAAAGCACTGTAAAACTGACTCGTCCAAATCTCTCAGAAGGAGGAAGAATATGGAAGGTTTTTCTCCCGCCTCTACTGTACAAAAGCAATAAGCTGCTCAGCAGCAGTCAAAGTACTTACTCATTATCCTGAGTAATTCAAAAAAGTACTTCCACTCCACCACCACCCCATCTGTGCTAACAGCTCTTCAACTGGGATGGAGGAATACTCATCTAACAGCACTCATCTCTTACATTTCTGTCCCTACTTTCCACCAGCGTACTTTCAGCTATGAAATGTACAGGATCCCTTAAACAGGCCGGGGAGTAGCTGGGATCAGAAGAAGCACACCCCCTCTTTTTAGGTAACCTCTTTCCCAACAAGAAATGTTCAGGATACCTCATGGAGCCAGATAAAAGGGTAGAAATGCCCCTGATTCTGCATCTCTTGCTCCAGTTTTCCTCCAGCCACCAAGCAGTAGGGAAACCAGCTGTTTGCTTTAGCCTTAGCCAGGCAGGGTGGAAGTGTATGCAAGAACACTGCTCTGTATTCATTCTGCCCAGAGGTCAAGGACAGCACACAGAGACACTCATGTGTTTCTCCATTTCAAGGGGAGCAAGTTCACTTGTGGGATTCCCAGGGATTCCTTCAGGCATAGTATGCTCCCAACTCATTTTCAGGGGATGGTCTGAGAAAGATTCTCTGCTGGGAATGTGCACGAGAAATGCTTAGCAGCTAGCTCCAACCTGGGAGAACCATACACTGAAAAAGAGCTAAGTTTGTGGCTGGAGTTAGCAGAACTGGGGATTGCAATCTTGGTGGGGCTACAAATACACTCTGGGAGTCTGATGCTTTCAGAAGGTAAACATGATGGTCTGCAGTAGAAGTTAGATTCCAGTAGTACCTTAGAGATGAACAAGAGTTCTGGGGTATAAGGTTTTGAGAGTCAAAGCTCCATTCGTCAAATATAAAACGTCTTCTGGTCTTCTGCAATACTGGCCACTTGGCTGTCTGCAGGGGTATTTACTTGCTTTCAAAATGCTCTCCTTGTATAAGGTAAAGGTAAAGGTTCCCTTGCTCGAAAGCCAGTCGAGTCCGGCTCTAGGGTTGCGGTGCTCATCTCCGTTTCAAAGCCGAAGAGCCAGCGCTGTCCGAAGACGTTTCCGTGGTCATGTGGCCGGCATGACTAAACACCAAGGCGCATGGAACGCTGTTACCTTCCCACCGCAGTGGTACCTATTTATCTACTTGCATTTTCTTGCTTTCGAACTGCTAGGTTGGCAGGAGCTGGAACTAGAGACGGGAGCTCACTCCGTCATGCAACACCCAGGTCTCGAACTGCTGAACTACCGACCTTCCACAGCCTGCAGTTCAGCGTCTTAACCACTTGAGCCACCGCAGCTACTTGTATACATGTAAACAAAGGAAATATTACACAAGACACCATAACTTTCTTCTGCAGTCTCATCCAAAGACCCAACCCAGAAGCATTGCTCAGGGAGCTGGAGAACAGGCAGTACTGACCTGCCTTACATGATCAGCATACGGATTACTGAGATAATATTCCTAAAGTAATTTAAATACCCTAAAACAGTGCATTAATGTATTATTGTACTGTTCAGTACAGCAACACAGCACACCAGCTCAAGACATTGTCTTGGCTGCTCTGAGCACAGAATTTCCTTTCCTACAAAGTTACACCCACCTAGAGAATTTGAGCTATCACCAACCTAGAGCAAAAAAGTACTATTTTAAAAAAATCTTCCTTGTCCTAGAGTAAGTGACTCCCCCCTATTTAACCTGACAACTGCTTAAGTTAGCACAGGAAAAACTGGTTCCAACTGCTAGATTTGCAATTGCACATCCTGTTTTAAGCCTAAGCAATTATTTTGATTTCACAGGATCCAAGCACACTAAGCAAGTTTACTTACAACCTAGCCCAGCAGTAATAATTTTACCCCTTTACAAAGAAGGCCTAGAAAAGCAATTAAGCACATACTGCAATAACATTCCCACTGGTGAAATATTATTCAAATATGCCCTGGCAAACTGATTATAGTACATCCAACAACCTGTAGTAGGAACAGCTTAGACAAAAAAAATACCAGGCCTGGTCATAGTGTTGACAGAAAACAATGAAAAGAGACCAGTACTCTCTATGGCGAGTACAGGCAACGCCACGGCACATGTGCTGACTGCAGCACAACTGACCATTCTGCCTGGCATACAAGGGCAGATCTTCACCCAAGCCACTAAGGCACTGACAGCACTGCTAGGACTAGCAGTGTGGTACAAGGCAACAGGCATGGCTTATACCCAGAGTCCAAGGCAAGTCCCTGAGATGCTGGCAGCACTGCTGGGGCTGGCCCACTACAAGAATGCCTGACTGAGCATAACCCACATCTCTCCCTTTCCAATCTTGTTTGCCAGCACATTAACATCTCCACAGGTAGGTATTGGCCTTCTCCAGCACTTGAGCCAAAAAAATTTCCCACCTCTGCTTTATGGCAAGACAGTACTTTTGCTTCAAGACTTCGAGAGAAGCTGGCCCTTGAGTGGAACTACAGGCACAAAGAGCTCAATTTTCTGGGTAAGCAAGCTACATGCATGCAGAACACTTCCTGAACAAATTATCAGACACAATAAAGTCTACCATTTGTCCAACAAACACCCAAGGAAGGTTGGAGCCTGTCTTATTCTCTACAGAAAGGTTCAGAGTTGTATATTAAGCAGTTTCGAGAAGTGCGAACCCTTAATAGTTATCTCACAACCATCAAGATCCATTTATCACTACCATCTGCGTGCCAAGGACCACCCAGAAACACAGAAGGAAGCGGATGGCTGTCCAGAGAGTTTATAATGGAAGAGCTACCCTTGAGCCACTGCCAGAGAAAAGGCGGGGCTGTCACTCACCTGCATAGTGCCTGGTAATCGAAGCTGCTCTGGGCCGCTACGACAGGGCTGGTGGTGCCTCCCTGCAGATCCGAGAGCAAGAACAAGAGACGCAACCAGACCAAAGCTCCAGGCCAGAGACGCCGAAGCCGAGCAGCAGTCCCGAAAGAAACGAGAACGGGGCGTCCCATGGCTGAGGAAAAGCGGCGGCGTTCTCTGACCAAAAGCTAAGGCTACTCCGCAGACATGACCGAGCAACAAGGAGGGAGGGAGGGAAGAACTCGCAGAGGGTCATGTGACTCCCTCCCCAGCCGCCTAACGGCACTCATGTGACCAAAACCACGCCTGGCACGTGACGGCACTCATGTGACGCGAGGCGTGAGCGGCCGGGTGGGAGGTTGGAGGGTCTCCACGAGTGCGGTGGAGCGGAGTCGTCGCTCTCTAGCCAAAAGTAGCTAGCGCAAGATGACCCGGCGTGTGTTTGTCTCTTGATTCCTCTCAGTGCTTGTCTCGGAGGCAGTTTCGGAAAGCGCAACGTTTGAGTTAACAAGGGACATTGAGTCTGTGACGACTTCCTTACCCATATAAGGGGATGTTGTTGTTGTTCAGTCGCACAGTCCTAAAACTAAAAAGGAGCTGCGGTGGCTCAAGTGGTTAAGACGCTGAACTGCAGGCTGTGGAAGGTCAGTAGTTCAGCAGTTCAAGACCCTGCATGACGGAGTGAGCTCCCGTCTCTAGTTCCAGCTCCTGCCAACCTAGCAGTTCGAAAGCAAGACATTGCAAGTAGATAAATAGGTACCACTTCGGTGGGAAGGTAACAGCGTTCCATGCGCCTTGGTGTTTAGTCATGCCGGCCACATGACCACGGAAACGTCTTCGGACAGCGCTGGCTCTTCGGCTTTGAAACGGAGATGAGCACCGCAACCCTAGAGTCGGACTCGACTGGCTTTCGAGCAAGGGAACCTTTTGGGTAAAAGTCGGATCTAGATAATTTTGAACAAATCCTCACGAATTCACATGATTTTTGTATTGAAACAAAACAAAAACGACTTCATATTGAAGATCATGTCTTAGACTTTAGGCAGCACCACTATGGTGTAGAAATGTGGTTCCGAAGCATGGATCCTCATGATTTTTGTGTTGGGTCGCCCTAAACTCGGCATGAAATGACTCATGTCTATAACACCAGAAAAATCATAGATCCGCTGCCTCGTGGCAACACCAGAACACAAAAACATGATTTGGAAGGAAAAAAGATAAAAGTCGGATCTACATGGATCCTCATGAATCCATATGATTTTTACATTGAAACAAAATAAAACTACCATCATATTGTAGGCCATGTGTTGATCTATAGGGGGCACCACGCATCCACAGATTCGTGGCACCACAACAGCTCAAACACATGATTCCAAAGCACGGATCCTCATGAATTCATATGATTTCTACATTGAAACAAAATAAAACTACCATCATATTGTAGGCCATGTGTTGATCTATAGGGGGCACCACGCATCCACAGATTCGTGGCACCACAACAGCTCAAACACATGATTCCAAAGCACGGATCCTCATAGATCCTCAGGGTTTTTCAATTGGGTCACTCCAAACACACCATCAAATCACATAACACGTCCACAGCTTGCACCACAAAAATTACAGATCCACCACCCCGGGACTCAGAGAGGCGGGGGGACATTTCGCGCCCCTCCCCCTCCACCATTGCCATTAGCGCTGCTGCCACCGCCGGCAGCCATAACTTTTTAAAGAGCCCCTAACAAGACCTGGGGGAGCCAGAATTACCTCTCGCAAGAGGTGGAATTTTCCCCTAGGGACTCCAAGGCCACCACCCTGGGGCTCAGGGAGGCGGGGAACATTTCGCGCCCCTCCCCCTCCACCATTGCCATTAGCGCTGCTGCCACCGCCGGCAGCCATAACTTTTTAAAGAGCCCCTAACAAGACCTGGGGGAGCCAGAATTACCTCTCGCAAGAGGTGGAATTTTCCCCTAGGGACTCCAAGGCCACCACCCTGGGGCTCAGGGAGGCGGGGAACATTTCGCGCCCCTCCCCCTCCACCATTGCCATTAGCGCTGCTGCCACCGCCGGCAGCCATAACTTTTTAAAGAGCCCCTAACAAAACCTGGGGGAGCCAGAATGACCAGGAGTGGTGGAATTTGCCCCTAGGACTCCAAGGTCACCACCATTTCATGCCCCCCCCCCCCAGCCGCTTCCGTTACTGCTTCAGAACCATGTTGTGGCTTTATGGTGTTGCCAGGAAGCCGTGGATCCATGTCTTTTGTGGTGCAACCTGTGCCCATGGACATGAGATGGGATTTGTTGGTGTGTTCATTGTGACCCAACGCAAAAGCCTTGAGGATCCATGGAAATCGTGCTTTGGAACGATATTTTTGCAGCATGTTGCCACGAAGCCAATATGGGATTTAATGGAATGTTTGGGTGTTCCAACACAAAACCCTCAAGAATCGATGAGGATCCATGCTCCAGAACCATGTTTTATCTTCATGGTGTTGCCACAAAGCCATGGATCCATGACTTCTGTGGTGCAAACTGTCCCCATGGACATGATATGTGATTTGATGGTGAGTACATGGTGACCCAACACAGAAACCCTGAGGATCCATGAGGATCCGTGCTTCGGAACCATGTTTTTGCAGCATGGTGTTGCCATGAAGCCCGGGACCCCTTAATACTGTGGTGTAAGTAGTGGCCATGGCCATGGTATGGGATTTAATGGTATGTTTGGGGTGTCCCAACACAAAATCCCAAAGCATTCGTGAGGATCCATGCTCCAGAACCATGTTTTGGCTTCATGGACATGTTATTTCTGTGGTGCATTCTGTGGCCATGGAGAAGGTATGTGATTTAATGGTGATGTTGGGGTGACCCAACGCAAAAACCTTAAGGACCCATGAGGATCCGTGCTTTGGAATCATGTTTTTGGAGCATGGAATTTCCATGAAGTCGTGGCAACATTTATTTTGTGGTGCAGGCTGTGGTCATGGACATGATATGGGATTTAATGGTATGTTTGGGATGTTCCAATACAAAAACCCCAATGATCCATAAGGATCCATGCTTTAGAATCATGTTTTTGCAGAATGGATTCACCACGAAACTGTGGATCTGTGATTTTTGTGGTGCAAGTTGTGGCCAGGGCCGGCTCGCCCGCTAGGCGAACTAGGCCGACGCCTAGAGCGCGAGCCGGGGGTAAGGGCGTGGGAGGAGAGGCAGGGGCGCCCACACACCTGGCCAGCAGTTCGGAGGAACAGGGCTGGGAGGAGCTCTGCACCTGGCTGCAGGAGGAGGATGCGGCCGCCAGCGGCATAGGCAGGGCGTGGCACTTTCCCCCGCCCCGACGCCCTTCTCGGCCTCTCCTGCCCGGCTGGGGGGGCGGGAGGAGCCCCTTCTCCTGGCAGGGCGCCGCACTTTCCTCCTCCCCCCTGCCACCACCAGGCGCCCCACGCCCTCAGCGAGGAAGGGGAGAGAGGACGAGTGTCCCGGAGCAACCAGTAGGGCACGGACGAGCGGGAGAGGCTGCTGCTGCTGGTGGGGACCTTTTCTCCCTCTTCGCACCCCTTCCCAGTCCCACGCGCTGAGCACGAACCAGCTCTGTAGGCTCCCCTGACTGCGAGGGCGGAGGCCGCTGGCTGGGGGTCGGATGAAGACCCGGGGAGGAGAGAACCTGCTCGAGGGCCGGGCGGGCGGGCCACTCTGTCAGCAGCAGTCGCTTCCGGGCCTGAGAGAGCGCGAGACAGGCCCAGGGCTCTTTGCGCGGCTCTGGCTGCACACCAACCCCTTCCCCCGTCGCTTTTCTCTGCTTTGTACCTCTAGCTCCTCGGGGAAGAGCCTCCCCTCGGATGGTCCACCGACAGGCAGAGCGCCGGCGGGTCAGGGGGGTGGGAGGGGAGGAGGCGCAGCTGGCTGCTCTGGCCTCCGGCCCCACCCCCTCCAGAAGCCCCCAAGGTGTGCCTCCCGCCCTCCTCCTCCTTTCCTGCGTTGTCCCTCCGCCGCTCTCCTCTCTCTGCCCCCCCACGTCTCCGCGCGGGCTCCCTGATTAGCTGAATCTCCAGCCTCCCTCCAGGGAGAGAGAGCACGTGCGTCCAGGCAGGCACCGAGGCGAAGGGGAAGCCGCCAGTCCCAGCGCCTCAAAAGCCCTGTGCGGTGGTGGCAGCCGCAGCAGCAGCCGGGGGAGGAAGGCTGGCTGGTGCGGGGGAGCAAGAGTGGCCCTTCTCTGGCGCGGCGCTTTCCTTTTCCCCGCCCGCCCACCAGCCTTCTTCTTCTGCTGCTGCTTCTTCTTCCTTCTCGGCCTCTTCTGCCCGGCGGCAGCGGCGGTGGGGGGGAGGGCCTGGGACGCCCAGACCCCACACACACACACACCGCCCGCTTTCCTCCCCCTCCCCCCGCCGCTGCCATCTTTCTCGGCCTCTCCTGCCCGGCTGCGGGGGGGGGGAGCAGACCCACACACACACACCGCCCGCCCCGGGGGGAGAGGACGCCCAGAGCGCATCTCCAGGCCCCGCCGGGAGGTTGGCATCTGCGCTCGCCTAGAGCGCAGGACAACCTCGGGCCAGCCCTGGTTGTGGCCGTGGATGTGCTATGTGATTTGATGGTGTGTTTGGGGTGACCCAATTGAAAAACCCTGAGTATCCATGAGGATCCTGCTTTGGAACCTTGTTTTTGTAGAATGGTGTCGCCACGGAGCTGTGGACATATGACGTCTGTGGTGCTTTCTGTGGCCATGGACAAGATTTGTGATTTGATGGTGATGTTGGGGTGACACAATGACTTTTCTGGTTCAAGCTGTGACCATGGACATGTTATGTGATTTGATGTTGTGTTTGGGGTGACCCAGGAGCTGCGGTGGCTCAAGTGGTTAAGACGCTGAACTGCAGGCTGTGGAAGGTCAGTAGTTCAGCAGTTCAAGACCCGGGTGCCGCAAGACGGAGTGAGCTCCCGTCTCTAGTTCCAGCTCCTGCCAACCTAGCAGTTCGAAAGCAAGAAATTGCAAGTAGATAAAAAGGGACCACTTCAGTGGGAAGGTAACAGCGTTCCGTGCACCTTGGTGTTTAGTCATGCCAGCCACATGACCACGGAAACGTCTTCGGACAGCGCTGGCTCTTCGGCTTTGAAATGGAGATGAGCACCGCAACCCTAGAGTCGGATTCGACTGGCTTTCGAGCGAGGGAACCTTTACCTTTACCTTGGGGTGACCCAACACAAAAACCTCAAGCATCCATG